CTGTTTGAGTGTCCGGCCGGCGAGTCGCTCGCTCACTGTATCAGCCAGGACTGTCGGATGGGAGCCGGCATCGCCGCGCTCTTCAGGAAGAGGTTCGGGAGCATCGAGGAGCTGCAGGAGCAGAGTAAGAGACCTCCATTATCATCTCCATCCATCCGTCCGGAAATTCTCATTGGCACAATATCAACGCCAACAACAACAACAACAACTCGCGTTTATATGGAGCCCCTGACGCAGAGGAGGGCCCCGGAGCGCTTGGTCAGGAGTAAATTCGAGCAGCGCACGGTTTATATGTCGGAAATCTGTCTCCGCAGCAGCTTCCCCCTGGGCCAGAGCTCTGCGTAACAGCAACTCACACGCATAACATTGCCGAATGACACGCACGGACGGGAATGGCCGGGTGGGAATCAGGGCATCGGCCGGGAGCGCGTGGCTGAAGGAGGTTGCGGAGTGGGTGGGGGGGGGGGGGGGTCGGCTGGGGCAAGACTTTAAAGGTGATTTGAACGTTACACTCAAATGATTCACTGAATAATGTCCAGGAGAAAGCCGTTATGGAGTCCTGCAGCTCAGTGGTTAGAGCCCTTGGCCCGCCAGCGAGAGGCCCTGGGTTAAATTCCCAGCAGGGCGATTTTCCTTACTCCGCACGCCGCTGTTTACCCCGCAGTAAGTAGGAACCCGGGTGGTTAGTCAATCGGTGGATCGCTTTTCCGGGGGTAATAATTCCTTCGAAAAAAATAATAATAGTAAATTGTTCATTTCAAATCCACAGCTGTTTGCGGGACACCCCCTGTGCGTAAATGGCTGCTGTGTTTCGTCCACAAAATATGCAGTCACTTCACTTTACAGTACATTCAGCGAAGTGCTTTGAGACGTCTTGAAGACGTGATAAGGCGCTACATCAACTGCAAGGATTATTATTGTTAAGCCAAGGATACCTGCAGCCTCACTAACACGCTGAGCTGCAACACCTGGTTCCCATTGCCCAAAGCCTCTGATATTCCCAGTAAAACAGCCCAAACCACACATCACACCCAACACCCCACATTTTCTTTTAAAGTTTAAAAACTTTCTCCTCTTTTTGATCTTTACCCAGAGAATTATTACGGTCTGGAATCCACTGAGAGGGTAGCGGAAGCAGTTTCTATAGTAAAAATTATAATCCTTCTAATAATAATCCTTGTATTTGATATAGCGCTTTTCACGTCGGGAGGACATCCCAAAGCGCTTCACAGAACACACTGTAAAGTGAATTGACTGTATATTTGTGGGCGAACGCGGCAGCCAATTGCGCACAGCAATGTCCCACAAACAGTCGTAGATTGAAAATGACCAATTTATTATTGTTTTTGGGAGGATTATTATTAGGCTCTGTGTGGAGTAAGGAAACTTGCCCAAGGTTTCGCCCTCTGCCTGGAATTGAACTCAGGTCTCTCACTTGCAAAGCGAGTGCTCTAACCACTGAGCCACAGGACTAGCTTTCAGAAGGGAATTGGATAGGTACTTAAAACAGGAAAAAATTGCAGAGATATGGGGTAAGAGCGGGACTGGTTGGTAGCTCTTTCAAAGAGGTGGCACGTGCACAATGGGCTGAATGGCCTCCTTTTGTGCTGTAAAATTCTATGATTATTTATTTGACAATTTCCTTAAATCTGTGTCCTCTAGTCACCAACCCACCCGCCAGTTTAAACAGTTTCTCCCTCTCTGATGTAGCAAAACCCCTCAGTATTTTGAACACCTCTATTAAATCTCCTCTTAACCTTCTCTGCCCCAAGGAGAACAATACCAACCTCTCTCGTCTGTCCACATAACTGAAATCTCTTTTCCCTGGACTTCATTCTGGTAAATCTCCTCTGCACCCCCTCCAAGGTCTTGACCTCCTTCCTAAAGGGTGGTGCCCAGAATTGGCCTCACCAGCAATATGTAAAGGTTTAACATAACTTCCTTGCTTTATACTCTGTGCCTCTATTTATAAAAGCCAAGGATCCCATGTGCTATTTTGGCCTGTTCTGTCTCTTTGGATGAGACTCAGCTGTTGTGTAAAATGAAAGGGTTTAAACTGTATTCTCTTCACAGAGAAGAAGCCTGGGGAAGTGGCAGTGCTGCAGAAAAACAACAGATACATTTACTATCTGGTAATGAACAGATTTATAACAGCTTACGTTTATACAGGGCCCTTCGCCCAGGGTGGTGTCTCGGAGCGCTTGACAAAGGCTGAGCCGGGGAGAAAGGGCAGTTGAGCACAGGCACCAGGGAAGAGGAAAGACTTCAGGTGTGATGTGAAGAGGGTAAAGAGGGGGTGAGGTGGGACGGTTGAGGTAGGGGGTTCAGAAGGCCAAGCCGGCCAGAGGAGGGGTCGGTGAAGGAGTGGGTGTTAGCAGGTCAGAGAGACTGGGGGTGCTCATTAACTTAATTAGTTAATGATCGAATGTCAGGCTATTTGGAAACGTCAGTGTTGAGTGATTTGAAAATGCCGGTTAATAGCATTTTAAATTAATTCCAGTCTGTAAAACGTATTTAGTGCAAAAAGCAAATGTATTGTCTCCAATAAGAGAGAAAAACTGGTAAAACTTTACTCTAAAGGCTGTCAAATTCCAAGTGAGCGATTTTCCTCGGCAACACTAGACGCTAATTTTGCGCACAGCGACACCCGGCACACGTTCATGAGGTGAGTGAACAGTCATTGTGGAGGGGGGGTGTCGGGCAGAACACCAGGAGAGAGAGAGAGAGAGAGAGACACCCTTTGCTTTTTCACTAGTGTCATAAGAACTTTTACGGCCATCTGAAAAGTGGAGAAACGGGACCTTAGCGCCTGCGGAATGGTGGGTGAGGGAGTGTGCGGTCGTTCAAAGGTGGTGGTGTGCGGGTTACTACCCGTGTTATCCGGGAGCGTGGAGAAAATAATCAGAATAATCAGCTGCAACGACTGGTTAGGAAGAGTGTGTGCGCAGAAGGGAATGGATTCCGTGGGGAACTGGGGAGCATTTTCAAGTAGATAAAGTGTCTGCAGGGAGGATGGTGTGCGTCTCACTAAATAGCGAGTTAAACCGCTGGCATAAAACATGAAAGCAGCAATTGTGTCTCATTTAATCTTGACGTGGAGCGAGAGGGACGGTGGTGGGGGAATGCTGTGGTTAATAAAAGAGATCTCGGGCCTGCTGATCACCAGGAAGAGGCGAGGAAAGTTGAAACAAAAAATAGGGAAAATGCTTAAATCGAGATTGGAAGGATCCCAGAAAGCACCAGATAGCAAGGCCGGGAACCAGACAGGAAGGTGGGACACGTATGTGGAATTCTGTTTGGCTTTGGAGACTCTTAAGGTGTGGTGACGGGTTTCCGCACGTGTCAGACACCCGGCCGACCAAAAAAACAGTTGCCTCCTTGACTAAGCTTTCAGTTGCTTCTGTCCGTCACTGTAAAGCACTTTGTGTTATACAGTGTCCGGTCAGGCCGCACCTTGAACACTGCACACGGCTCTGGTCACTGTGACGTAAGGGGCTGCTCAGGCCATAGAGGCAGTGCAGAGGAGAGCAACGAGGATGATCCCCAGTGTTAGAGGAATGAGCTGTGAGCAACGACTAGACAAGCTCAGGCTCATCAGTCTTGAGAGAAGATGACTCAGAGGGGACCTCATAGAGGTGTATAACATTTTAAATGGGATTGAAAAGAAACTCAGATCATTACTTTAGGATACAGCAAGACAGTAGAACAAGAGGACACAGGTTTAGAGGGGTAAAGGCCAATTTCAGGACAGACACCAGGAAGTTTTGCTTTACCCAGAGGTTAATTAATAATGGGGTCAGGTTGCCAGGTGGTTGAGGCCAGGACCCGGACTCATTTAAAAAGCAATTTGATGCTGTGATCGGGGGAGGGAAAGGTGGGTGTTCTGGAGGGAGGAGATCTGATGGGCTTTCTTTATCCAGACCATCCTGTGAGCACAAAGTCCTGACAAAGTGTTTAATTCTTGCACAGATCACCAAAGAAAAGGCGTCACACAAACCCACGTACAGCAGCCTGCGGGGCAGTCTGATAGCCATGAAGACGCACAGCCTGGCTAATGGAGTCACTCGCATCTCCATGCCAAGGTACTGAGGGTGGAGACCAGAATGAGTTGCTGCATTTATAACTTTTATGATTATTAAATTGTCAGAATTTGGTTTTGTACAACAACAAGAAATGCCTTTTAGCTACTGACCAGGTTGTGTGTGTGTGTGAGGCTGGGCTGTGTGTGTGAGGCAGTGTGTGGATGTGTGGGTGGGGGTGGGGTAGGGTCTGTGTGTGTGTGTGTATGTGGGTGTGTGTGTGTGTATGTGGGGCTGTGTGTGTGTGTGTGAGGCTGGGCTGTGTGTGGAAGTAACGCTCATCAGTCTTGAGAGAAGACAAAACGGGACAAGAACAACGACAATGGTGGAACACAAGGGACATCATAGAATCAGCACCAAAGGAGGCCATTCGGCCCATCGTATCTGTGCTGGCTCTTTGAAAAGTGCTATCCAATTCAATCCCTCTCTCCCCATAGCCCTGCAAACTTGTCGTCCCCATAAGCAGGAGGCCGGAGCCAGTCGAACGGAGACAACGGGTTGTGGGTTGGGGAATACGCAGGTCGGAGAGATAGGGAGGTGCCAGAGCCTGAAGGGATTTGAAAACGAGTGTGAGGATTTTGAAATCGATCCTGACAGCTGATCCTATTATTTGTCGTTTTTCCTGTAGAATTGGCTGCGGTCTGGACAAACTATCCTGGGACAAGGTGGCCACGATAATTCAAGAGGTGTTTTGCAACACGGACATCTGCATCAGTGTGTACACTTTGAGGGCGTGTAGGACGTAGGCTGCATTTATCTAACTAGCGTAACTAACACAGGTGAACAAGGCAGTAACTTTTGAATCAACCCATTCTGTAGGATAGAGTTTTGATTCCCAACCGATCAGCAGGTGACGCTTCCGAGACTCTTGTCTGTTTCTGTTCTAAAGGTAATTCAAATTTCCTGTCTTTTAATGTTTAATTGTTTCTGGATGTCAAAGAGGTTATTAGTTTCATGGAATTAGCTTGGCTGATATGTTGCCTCGGCCACTCTTCAGCACACTGAGAGCAAAGATGTGGGTGTGTTGGAGGCTGATGTGCACTTAGAACTGTTGTCCAGGGGAGAGAAGCAGCTCTGTGGTTAGTTTCCTCTTGTTAAGCGTTCTGAGACGCTACCCTGAGTGGAGAGCGCTACATGAGTGCAAGTTGTTGCTGTTGTAGTCACAGGGCCCTCCACGCCTGGTTCCCAACAGGGAGCAGTATTTTAGTGGATGGCTACAGTACCGAACAAGCAAATCACAGACCAGAGCTCAAACTAGGTATCGGGAGCAAGTGCCTTATGCAGTGCAAGACGATCAAAGCGGAGGCTTTCTCTGTACTTACAGACCCACGCTCTAAAGCGTGTGAACATGTGTCAGCGCCCACACTGCGTGCACACGCCTCCTGCACACGGCTGTTCTAAGGCTCAGGCCAGTGCGGCTGCAGCAAACCTCAGGTTCTCCTCCAGCTGCGGGCCTGATGCATCACCGTTAATGGGCGGAATATCTGGGGGCCTCAGTGCTTGCTCACACGGCACACCTTCCCACCAGACCGCAAGCACCGACCGACCGCTCACACAGAACCATCTCTGAACTTGCTGCAACGTTTGCGTGAAGGTTCCAGGAGAGAGCAGCAAATCCCTCCCATTCGAGCTCCCGCATAGCGAGCACTGCCGCCCTGTGATGAGAGCGCAGGTTAGCCTGCAGGTCCCAGGCCAGAGGTAGATGCGGTTATCCAGAGGCTGATTGACTTGACGCAGTCTGGCTCTGAATGGAGATGTGCTGTTGACACGCGCCCGGCCAGAAGCCAAGTCAATATCGCTGTTATTAGAAACATTTTTACATGAAACAAATCACGCCAAAGAGTTGTGCTCGGGGGCTGCTGGTCGAGCCTGTCTGCCAGCACAGCACACAGAGTGCGTGTTAGCGGCTCTGTTGTGTGAATGTGAGTGTATTATGCGGCTTGGGTACCCCATGTGTAAGTGCTGGATTGCCCGTGACGCTTTTCGTTGGCGAGTTGCATCATTAGTGACACCTGTATTCCCACCCCCACCCCCACCCCCCCCCATGGACACACATGTTTGCACATAAGTTTACCCAATTCGCAAAATCCGCACAGCTGGTATAATAGTGAGTTTGACTTCTGGATTGCCGTACGCAACAGTTCACCATCTCTTTCAAAGCTGATCATCTTTTGGAATTTTTGCTGTTATAAATATTGCAATCCAGCCAATAACAGGAGTGTTGTTCATCTGAAGGTTAAGGAGAATGTTTTTAATTTAAAAATTGTCGGCGAATTTATTGCAAATAGAAGAATCGCAGCAAAGAGCAAAATTCCTTGCCGTCCACAGGCTTTGTGACAATTTTATTTACCTGAAATTGTGTTTAAATTGTATTTTACAGATTTAAATTGATTAAACCTTTATTTTTTAACCTTTTTAAAATTTGCTAACTTAATGAAAACCTCGTTGAATTATTTAAAGGGCAACAGCTCTGATCCTATCCATAACGTGTTCAGTGCTGGTTAGCATTTCTTTGGTCAGCCGGGTATCTGATGCACACAGAAACCCATCACTGATGTCTCCAAACTAAACTTCTTAAGAGTTGTGTTCAACGTTTGCATCAACATTTCTCTGTGTGTGGAGTGGAATGCGCACTCTCTCTGCAGAGAGATCATCTGATCCCTAATCCCAGTGAGTATTATGTGCAGGTTAGCAAGAGCCAGGGCTTGGGGATCCCAGAGTGTGCGTTGGGGTAAATGCTGGAGTCTAACCAGTTAAAACCACATAGCTTTGCGATGATTATGTACAAAGTAGATTGGCATTAAACCAAATTACTATTCCTGTTCTGTACAAGAACTGAATTTTCGGATGGTTTAAACGGTGAAGTATTTCCCAGTGTGAAGAGTGAACGTGTTCGCTGTGAAAGGCGCACTGACATTCCAAGTTCTACAGAGGTTAGAGACACGTAGTCATTCCTTACACAGACACTTGGATCCGCTGTTGACAGCCAAGGTGCCCCGTCAATCTCCTCATCTGTTCTGTGACATTTAAACCCATCTTTCACCTCCTCCCCCCCCCACCCCCTCCCAACTCATCTCCACAGGGCAATGTGCACCTGACACCTGTCTTCACGACCACCCGAGGAGTAGGTCAGGTCAGGGATGGCCTCTCTGGCAGGACAAGCCCAGCCTGAGCCTAGTGACCAGGTGCTCGAGTGAGCTCTGTATTCCAGTATCTCCACCTCCTCTGCGTGAGGGCAGATCCCACTCCTGCGGGAAGTACAGCAATATCCATCCTGGCCCACAGAGGGTGGAATTCAAGGTGGAGTGAATGGAAAGGATCCGTGAGCCACCAGCAAGCACAAAGCGGTCTCTATTTGATGGCTACACTGGGGACTATAACAAGATGATCAGACGATTTGTTTGTTCAAACAGAAAGTGACATAAACGTGGATTTCCTCTTCTCCCCAAGTTGTAAGCGCTCCGGGACGCTATCCCACATGAAGGGCGCTATAGCAGTGCAAGTTGTTGTTGTGTTCTGCCCGCTGAGGTTTGGCTGGGAAACAGTGACGGCCCTGATGTATCTGAACAGAACACGTGCAACAAGAGATTGTAGTCACATATTTTAATTCACTTCATTTCACCATACAAAACACAAACTTTACAAAAGGAATAAAGTCTGAGATTTGAAAATGATTCCTATAGACACCTTGCTGTGGTCGACTGTTTGGAACCGCTTTCCCTAAGCTACGCAGTGAGGGGCTGCGGCTATTTGCTGTCATTTCACAAACATCAGACACACAGTAAGAGGCGTTTCAGCAGATTCTGTTGGTTCTGTCCAAATGAATAGAGGAAAGTATGTCCGTTCCTTCACTTCCCAGCGACTCCCGGGGTATCAGGTGGCACAGAGCGGGCTACGCCCTGTAACAGAGCAAAATACTGTCACTGATTAACATTGGTACATCACAGATCACAGTGCAAAAGAAGCAATAATAATAATAATAATTCTTGCATTTGATATACAGCCTCGTCACGTCTTTGAGACGTTTCAAAGCGCATCACAGAAATATACTGTAAAGTGAATTGACTGTATTTTTGTGTGTGAAACACAGCAGCCAATTGTGCACAGCATCGTCCCACAAACAGTCGGGGATTGAGTGACCAAATTGTTTCTTTTATTCAATGTGTTTTTAATCTTAGCGTGCTGTGGCAGTGGGAATAATCGTATAATAATAATAATAATCCTTGCATTTGATTCAGCGCTATGACAATCAGGACTAATATTGTAATTCCTAACGGGATTCCTTCATATAACAAGGTGAGTGGAAGCTTCCAATCAGCACTTCGTACCACCTGCCACGAGCTGCCAACCACAAGACCAGCCAGTTCCTTCTTGAGTTAATGAACTGCGTTTGAGAAGAGAACTTGACAACAGGACTGAAAGCTGCCTCATGGCACTCAGTGCACATTACACAAGGACGGAGAGCAGGAGGCCGTGTCCTTGCCTCTTGTATATAGACAGTAAAGGCCAACATTCTGTCCTGGGAATGCGGTAAACTCCAGCTCCCACGGCTACAGCATCAACAGCAGCCCTCAGGCAGTGCAGCGTCCAAGAGCGCTTGACGGTGGCGGAGCATGATGCCAAGCCAGGGGGAGGCGGAGGTACGGTCGAAGAGGAAGGTCTTCAGGCGCGACTCGAAGATGGGGAAAGAAGGGGTAAGGCAGAGGGATAGAGGAAGAATCTTTCGGAGTGTAGTGGCTGAAAGTTCCTCATCACATTGAAGAGCTCACACCAAGGTGGATGGTAAGGAACACGGCAGTTAATTTGTGTACAGCAACGTCCCATAAACAGCTGCGAAGTGTATGAACGATTTTTATCTGGGGGATTGTTGGCCAGGACACCAGAGGAAACTCCCTTCTCGTTTCCAATAGCGCTGCGGGATCTTTAACGGCCACCTGAACAGGTACAGACAGGACCTCTGTTTAACGTCTCATCCAAAGGACAACAATTCCAAGATTGCAGCACTCCCCCAGTACCAGGCAGTGTCAGCCTGGGCTGTGAGCTCAGGACCTCAAGTCGGGGCTTGAACTTTCATCACCTTCTTGCTTGGAGCAAGAGTGCTCTCCCACCACTGAGGGAGAGGAGAGTCAACCTGGAATGTATAGATATAGAGTGTAAAAAAAGAAAAATACTGCAGATGCTGGAAATCTGAAATAAAAACGGAAGTCGTTGAGAACACTCAGCAGGTCAGGCAGCATCTATGGAGAAAGGAAAGTGGGTTAATGTTCCGGGTCGATGACCTTTTGTCGTTAACCCACTTTCCTCTCCATAGATGCTGCCTAACCTGCTGAGTGTTCCCAGTGACTCCTATTTTATTAGATATAGAGTGAACTTGGTGATGCCCTTCCTCAATTAATGGAGACAATTTTGTTGTAGTGGTTTTCTTAATAAAGAAATATTGGACAATTCCTTCACGAGGCCTAAGAGAATGACATGCAGCACTTGAGTGTTCTGAGGGATATTGATGTTGAATTTCACGTATATAACTTTAAAGAGGGGGAATTATAGTTCCCTCATAATATGATTTTCCTGTACTTTGTTAAAAATCAATAATACTTTTATTGGGTAATAAGATAGCTGCTTTGTTACTAACTGCTTCCTCTGCTCAGCTCAGCACAGCGCAGAATGTTCATTCCAAAGATGATCCCAAGTAACCCAAGTATCATGTTTTGCAGTCACCAGTTATGAGATGCTGCTAAATCCATAGGAATCTCACAGCTTTACTTTATTACTGAGTAATATGCCTCACCCATATCTCCTCTTATCTCCATTTGTTAAAAAAAAATCCGTCCCGGTAATCTGTTCGTTCCATCAATTTTAAGCTTTTAAGATTGTGTAATTGTGCGGAAGAAAAGTGCAGGATATGATGTGTTAACTAACTCCAGTGACAATTACCACATCACACACTGCATCTTCACTTCTGTCTCACTCACTGCTCAGTTTACCATCTGTAAAGGCCTCCAAGCCTTGCTCCTTTCCTACCCCTGTGACCTCCAACCTGTCCACTCCCTCCGCTCAGTGGGCTCTGGCCTGCTTCATGTCCCCCTGCCCCACGATTTGCAGGAGCAGGCCTTCAGCCTCTCATCTCCCACCCCCTTGAACTCCATCCCACAGTCCCTCTGCCTCGCCCCCTCCCTTACCTCCTTCCAGACCCATCTCAGGACCCTCTTCGACCGTGCCTTTGGTCAACCTCCTACCCCTGCCCTCCCCGCCCTCCACTACTCATGATCCCAACCAACAACTCGGGTGCGGATCCCTGACTGTCCAGCACCCAGTGACATCCCCCCGATGTGAAAGGCGCTGTACAAATGTAATTTGTTGTTGTTGTTGTATGGAAATTGTGTAATTTAACACTGAGCGGCATCTCCGGGTGCTACATATACCTACACAGTCTCTGGGCGACTGATTCCTTCTGAGCTGCTCAGAGTGAAGACTGACAACACTGAGGGATTCTGACCGCTGCTCAATGAGACACAAACTGACACCACGAAGAGTAGATCCACATCCCTCATTGTCTATCCACACGGGAGTCCTTTGATCAAAGCAATCTGAGCTGCCCTTTGCCCTGCCATAGATGCCATAACAGAGGAGCATCTGCCTTCAGCTTGTTCGTATCCTGTTTAGAGATCCACTGCATGTCCTCACTAATTAACTAACTAAACTAACTAATTAACCATGCCAGCTCATTGAAACAAACCAGGAACTGCAGTAAAGTATAACACCCACTGCAAAATAATCAGGCCAACAGTCCTGTGTTTGGGGCAAGTCAGGGACAAGACTGAATTAGATACAAAAGATCTAAATTTATATTGAACTGAAAACAGCTGTTGGTCCTGCAGGTCCCCCCACCCCCCACACGCACACACACACACACACACTGTAATGGAAACTAGTAACTAGAAAAGAACAGCGGATGGTGAGGGATGGCTCGGAGGCTCACAAAGCTCCAGTTGTGATCAGCTATTGCTACTGAGATGCTGAACAGTCCCAGCTCCACCCTGAACCCCTTCAGTCAAATGTTTATTTCACTGCAATTGAACTTCCTGCTCTATAAACCACATCCTGCAATTCAACCCAAGAAATGACAGGATACAAGGAAGTCAATCTCCTCCCCCCCCGCCCCCACTCCACGTCCTCCATTCAGCTGCCCCCAACTCAGCAGCGTTAAGCACTTTGAGACATCTTCCCAACGTATAGATGTCAGTGTATATCTGTGCTCCTCCACTGGAGCTAGCTACTCTTACATAGAATTACACAGAACTTCACTCCTCAGAACAGGCCATTCAGCCCAACTAGTCCGTGACAGTGCTTAATCTCCCCCATCACCACCCCCACTCCCATTGCATACCCTGGTCCTTCACGAATGCCTCCCGCTTTCCCTTCAATATGTTTTCTCTTAAATAAACTATTTGCTTCAACCACAGCATCCGCCACTGAGTTCCACTTTCTCACCAGCCTCTGTGTGAAGAAATTCCTCCTGAAGTGCCTCTAGACCTCCCACGGATTAGCTTATGTTTATGTCCTTGTTTTGGACTCGGCATCAAGTGGTAACAGCCTATCAACATCCACCTTATGCAATCCTTTCATAACCTTAAACCCCTCGATCAGATCCCCACTCAATCCTCTCAGCTCTAGAGAGAAAAGCTTTGCCCTGTGCAGTCTGTGTGACAGCTGGTCCCTCAGCGCCTTGGGAGGTCTTCCCAACGTGAAAGGCGCTACACAAACGTAATTTTGTATTATATTGTACCCACTGAACCCTGGGACCAGCCATTTCAATCTATACCGTCCTCTCTCTCTCTCTCTCTCCAACGCCACAATATGCTTCCTGATCTCCACAATACAATAGACATGTTTACAGCGTCTTTCTTGTTGGCAGGACGTCTCAAAGCGCTCGACCCTGCTGGCTGAGCACCTGAACGGGAGGTGAAAGGAAGCGGGGGCATTTTGGGGGGGTAGCTCGCTCAGGGGGTAGGCTCGCTGGGGGTGCGTGTGGTGGGGGTGGTGCACACTGGGGGTTGCAGCTCAGATAAGATGAGAAGACGAATCCGAATTCTCTGTGCTTTCTCCCCGGAGCAAATCTAGGTTTGAAGGATGAGATGGGATGAGGGAGGGGGGTCCGACCTCAAAGTGATTGGGTCTTGCGCCCCCTGAGCCCCCATTGCTTTCCCCATATCCTTTCCAATTCTTCCTCTTCTACTTGTGGGCAGGTTTGGCTGAACTGACTGTTTGCATTTGCTTTACTTACACTTTGTAACCATTTTATCATCTTCCCCAGGACAGCACCACATGGGTCCTGATCCTCTCTGGTTCTGTGACCTGCTAATCCCATATCAACCTGTCCACTCCCTCAGAAGGCTCCGGCCTGCTCCACATTCCCTGCCCGGCCCACCCCACCTTCAGCGGTTGGGCATTCAGCTTCTCTGCCCCCACCCTTGGAACTCCATCCCCTCGTGCCTTAGCCTTGCTCCCTCCCTTGCCTACTTCAAAGCACGTCTCAAGTCCCTGCTCTTCGACCGCACATTTGGCCACCCTCCTACTCCGACTCACCCTGCCCTCCACCACTCGTGAACCCAACCCCCTGCTCAGGTCCAAATCCCTGACTGTCCACGGCCTTGGGACATGAATGCTCACTCCCTGAAACCAAACCATGACCAGTCAGGGCAAGGGCGTGTTACTGTTATACACACTCGCCACAAGCGAGGATCAGGTGACCAATATCTTTGGCTCATTTCATCCCAACCATCCGTCACTTTCCCATCACTGTATCAAACTGTTTCTTGACTGAGTGCCATTGTCCTGGTCTCCACCAGCCTAGCCGATACCAAACTGTCACTTTCCCTCTCGGTGTAAAGAAATACTTCCTGGTGTCTGGCCTAAGTTTCCCTGCCAGAGCCTGACCCTGTGCCCTCCTATCCTGTTGGGATGGCGTATCGGAGAGTACTGTTCTGGGTTTTCTTAATCCAATTAGAATCTTACTCAGCTCTAGAGGTCTCGCTGAGATGTTTCTTTCAATGGCCAAAGAGCCCGAGATTATGTATCAGTTCTGACCTGGAGAAGCAATTTACTGAGCGCTAAGGTTGCTGAGACACTCACCTTTCTAGGCTTTCTCTAAAATTTCATGCAGCTTCTCTTCGTGATATGAGCTGTTCTCTTGAATGTCCTCCCAGGGCTGGAAAGCCTCGCCCTCATTCTCCACGTAGGTGTCCCAACAGAAGATAAAGTCCACGGGCTTCATGATCCTCAAGCGACAGCCAGCGGCTTTGAGCATACGCAGCCCGTCCTGCACCTCGGGCTCCTCCCACATGAACAAGCGAGCAGCGAGGATGGTGAGTGAGACGTTTGGGTAGCGGCGCAGGAACTCTACTATCCGGGTCGCACAAGCTGCACACGGGCTGGAGGACACGTACCACGTGAGCCGGTACTTCAAGTCACCGCTGCACTGCTGGGGGCCAAAGATCTGGTTGAAGAAGGCGTCCTCCGCATGCGTGGTCGAGTGCTCGTCTTCCAGGAAGCCCTCGGTCTTGACGGTGTCCTCGCCCAACGTCTCCACCACGTAGCACAGGAAGGTCTTATTCCTCCCCGAGGAATACTCCACGTTTTTGAATTGGAATTTAAAATAATGGATCATAAAACGTCTCCTACAAATGAAAGAGGCAATTATTATTCCATGGTCCAAAGGTCTTTTTTAAGGGGTCAGACAAATCTCTGACACATGCGGAAACCCATCTCCATCTTAAGAGTATCCAAACCAAGATGAGATTTCCATGCAATCCACCTATGTAATAATAATAATAATAATCCTTGCATTTGATATAGCGCCTTATCACGTGAATTGACTGTATATTTTGTGGGCGGAACGTGGCAGCCAATTGCGCACAGCAGTGTCCCACCAACGGTTGTTTTTTTTAAGGGATTATTACCTCTGGAAAACCAAATTTATATGGAAATTTGGTGGAATGAAATGCGCACTCTCACCCTAGAGGGATGCGTCCTGCTTACCTAATTCTGGAGAGTATTAAGCGCAGGTTGTCAAGATGACCCCAGAGTGTGCGTTGGGGGTAACTGCTGGAGTCTAACCAACTAAAACCACAAACCTTGCCAATGAGGACACTGTCTGACAAGCCTTTCCACTACTTATCGTACCAAACAGGTCCGTTACCAAACATGTCACCTTGGAGCCTGTTCAGCTCCATGGAGACCCCGCTTACCTCTCTCTATCTTAAGGCACTTACTTTAAGAATAAAGACTGGAATAATGTATGTTGTCGTTGTGCTTAGGAACATTGGAATGGAAGTGAACTATCCAACCTATCTCGCCACTTTATTAATGTATTAATTCCTGCCAGCTCTTCCTGATTCTATTTATAATAATATTCTTTGATATAGAGCAACCATTGTACTGAGTGTGTTTCGTGGCTTCACACTGTTTCAGTAGTGACTGTGTACTTGTAAGTGAATCAGCGGCCAATTTGCACAAAGCAACGTCCTACAAACTGCCATGAAATGCTAGACGAACTTTATCTCAAGGATTGTTGGCCAGGACACCTTGTTCTTTCTCGATTTCCTTTAATCCCTTACTTTCTAAGAATAACTTTTTCCTTCTTAAACACATCAATTTGTCTACAGTCTTCACCTGTTAGCATAGCTAATGTGGTAGCACTCTCCCTCTGGGTCAGAAGCTTGTAGGCTCAACTCTCACAACAACAACAACAAATTAAATTTGTATAGCGCCTTTCACATTGGGAGGACATCCCAAGATGCTGGACAGACTGAGTTACAGACCCGAGCTGGGGGTCGGGATCGGGTAGTGTGGAGGGCAGGGGGGGGGAAGCAGGGAGGTCAAAAGCACAGATGAAGAGGAGGGTCTTGAGATGGGTCTTGAAGGAGGCAAGGGAGGGGGTGAAGCAGAGGGACAGCGGGATGGCGTTCCAGAGGGTGGGTGCAGAGTGGCAGAAGGCCAGCAAGTCAATAGTGGGGTGAGTGAGGCAGGGGATGTGAAGCAGGCTGGAGCCTGCTGAGCGGAGGGAGCAAGCAGGATGGTAGGGGGGAGCAAGACCATGGAGGGCTTTGCAGGTAAGCACCAGGATCTTGAACTGTATCCTTTGTGTGATGGGAAGCCAGTGGAGTCGGGCGAGGATGACGGTGATAGGATCACAGAGCCTGGTGGGGAAGAGGACACGGGCTGCAGAGTTCTGGATGATCTGCAGCCTGAGGAGGGAGGAGTTGGGGAGGCCGACAAGCAGTGAGTTTGCATATTCAAGCCTCGATGTAATGAAGGCGTGTATGAGGGTTTCAGTGGCCTGTGGTGTGAGACTGTGGCGGAGCCGGGCGATGTTGTGGAGGTGGGGGAAGGCAGAGCAGGTCATGGCGCAGATGTGGGGTAGAAAGGATATTTGAGGGTGAAACAAGACACCAAGGTTCCGGACTGGCTTAGAGAGGTGGAGTATGAATCCTTTGGATGGTGATGCTGTCAGCGCCTGAGGTGAGGAGGTGCTGATCGGAGCCAATCAGGAGAACCTCAGTCTTGTTGACATTCAACTGAAGAAAGTTAGCTCTCATCCAGGACTTGATGTCTGACAGACGTTCTGTCAAGACAGCAGTGGTCCTGGAGTCAAGGGTGGAGGCAGAGAGATAGAGTTTGGTCATCCACATATATGTGGAAGTTGACCCCATGTCTGCAGATGATGTCACCAAGGGGGAGCATATAGATATTGAAGAGGAGGGGACCAAGGACAGAGCCCTGAGGAACGCTGCACGAGACGGTGTGGGGGCTAGAGGAGAAACTGTTTGTGGAGATGTGTGAGGTAGAATCTGAACCAGTCAAGGACAGAGTCATGAAAGTTGAGGTGAGAGGAGAAGCGGTGGATGTGAATAGAGTGGTCAGGGATGTCAAAGGCAGTAGAGGTCAAGAAGGACAAGGAGGCAGATGGAGCCCCGATCACAGATGTACAGAATGTCATTGGCCACTTTGACCAGGGGCTGTTTCTGTGCTGTGGGCAGCACGGAAACCCGATTGGAGGGGTTCATGAAAGGAGTGGTGGGAGAGGAAGGAGTGAAGCAACAACTCATTCCAGAACCTTGGAGAGGAAAGGGAGATTGGAGATGGGGCGGTAATTTGGGAGCAGAGATGGGTCCAGGGCGGGTTTTTAAGGATAGGAGTGATGTACCCTAGACTGTGAGCTCAAAAACAAGGATTTTGAGCTCACAGTCTAGGCTGGGGGAAAGCACTGCATTGTCACAGGTGATGGGCTTCTGATGAGATGTTAAACCAGGTCCCGTCTGCCTGTACAGGCGGATATTAAAGAGCCACTGTTTGCACTGTTTGAAAAAAGAAGGGAGTTTCTCCTGACTACTTTTGGGAGACATTGCTATGTGAAAGTTGGCTGTCACATTTGCTTACAAAATACGCTATAATTACTGTGAAGTGTTTTGAAATGTTAACTCAAGGATGTATAATGCCAAGTGAATTGACTGTATATTTTGTTGGCCAGTTGAAACTCTTTTAACGTCAGCTTAACTTCTCATCTGAAGGACGGCACCTCCGACAATGCAGCGCAACCCCCAGCACTGCATTGGAGTGGCTGTCTAGACTATATGATCCAGTCCAAGGTCTAGGACTTGAACCCACAACCTTCTGACTCAGAAATGAGAGCCGTACCTCTGCACCAGGCTGACACACACATATACTGATGTCATAGATCATACAAGGTTTGTTGTGCAATTCTTGGCCAAGCAACACAGGAGCACTGAACTGCCAGGACATTGGGGTCTGACACCCTGTCTCAATTAACAAATCCCTTCAGTATGAAATTATCAATCCCCTCCTATCAGTGTTCCAACACCCTGTATCAGTGAGGCTCAGGTGTGGGGGACACTGGTTAGCTGAACCCAGCTCGAGGGCAGGCTTGGCTCCCAGGCAGCACAAGGTCCCATTAGTCAAACACACAACCTGCTTCAGGAGGGGGCAGGGGCTCCACCTCCAACACAACCGCAACATCCACATCAACACTTACCGCAGTCCCATTCAGCCAACACCGAGCTGCTTCATGTCCCTACCTGACCTGCTTCTCCCCCCACCCCCCACCACCGCCACATCGGTGGCCAGGCTTTCAGCCATTCTGCCCTCATTCTCTCTCTGGAACTCCTTCCCTCCACTGTGCCCCCTCCTTCCTTCCCCACCTTTAAAGTCCACCTTAAGACCTATCTTTTTGATTGCATGTTGGTCCCATTCATTCTCCCCCCCCCCCACCCCCACACATCCAACTCACACTCTGGGATCCCCAAGCCTTGGCTCCTGACAACCTGCACCTAATACTTTCCGGAGTTAGGTAAGCAGAATGTGTCTCTCCAGGGAGAGAGCGCACATTCAATTCCAATAATCTACCTCTGGGATTTCCATGTTTGGTGGGATGCATGGAATTCTCAGTTTGGTTTGGATACTCATAAGCACGGCGATGGGTTTCCGCATGTATCAGACATCCAGCTGACCATACTCCTCCCCCTCACATTCCTCAGCCCCCTTCCTACCCCCACCCCACACAGCTTAGATTCCCAGTTGACTCTTTGAAGCCCTTTGAGGCTTCCCCCTGACATGAGAGACGCTGCATAAATATATTTGGATTCCTGAGATGTTGAGAAGATTGTGTCTCCTTGATGAGCTGCTGAGAATGGAGTGAACTTTCTATTCAGTGCTGTGAGCAGTGCTCTGCTTTCTCCTCAGCCACAATCAATGGGATTTCCATTTCCAGCTCAGCCTCAGCTGTGCTCACAGGAGACCCAGTATCTCCCCGACCGGGGAGGAGAGCTCAACCCTGGGCTTATCCCACACGTTCGTGAGACTGGCAATAGAGTGACCCTGGCACTAGTCCTGGCCTGGCAGGGGACTGGCCCTGGTGTAGGGCAGTGGAACGAATAGAAAGCAATGGAAGAAAAAGTAACCATTGAGTAGAAAATGCTGTTTCTTTTTAAAGATTGTGAATTGTCGTTCAGCTTCGACATCACGGGTTGGGAAGTCTTACTCACCAAAAGTAAGGACATCTCAGGTCTGCACCTACCACATCATTATTAATCAATTTCTTTTAATAAAAGATAGCGATTGCATGAAAGATCTCCCGGTGACAACCTCCCTACATGTGGGGTGACAACTCCATAATCAGTTTAGGATCAAAACAGAATCCTTTTTATCTCAATTAGATTTGACTCCTGCTACCACCCCCCCCCCCACCACACACACACACACACACACACACATATGTGCAAAGGCAGACACACATAGCTACACATTGGGAAAATACTGCAGTTTGCTGTGGTTATATTTGATACAATTCCTTATCACGTCGTCGAAACACCTAAAAGCGAGAGAGCGTAGTGACTGTATTTTGTGGGCAAACTCAACAGTTCATTTGCATACAGCAACATCACACAAACAGCTGTGAAGTGAGTGACCAATTTTATCTGGGGGATTGTTGGCCAGGAAACTTTTTGAGTAGTGCCACAGGATCTTTGACATCCACCTGAACAGGCACAGACGGGTCTTCAGTTTAGGTTCTCAGCTAAAGGACAGTGCCTCCGCCAATGCAGTGCTCCCCTCCCACTGTACATCCATGCTTAACACATCAACACCAGATATACACAGCATGTGCAGGCAAGTACGTACTGTATGCACATTTATCTGCAGTTGTACGTGCACTGATATACCATCTCGTTGTACCGATCACTGAGACATGCGCTGTGCTTGTCACCACCAAATTGTTATTAACAGGCAATGAGGATTATCCCTGTTCCACATCATCTCCTGGCTTGGAAACTATCTTTAGAGACTTCACTCTCGTTATAGCTGGGGGCCTGACTGACTGCTCACCCTCTGGTTAGCGCACTCTTACCCACCTTTACCTCGGTGCTCCACGGACAATACGTACCGATTAAACCTGTGACACTCACCCAGTAATTATTTCAAACGGCCCCAGTTCGGGGAGCTCTATTTTCTCCCCAGGCTCCTCGCCATCCTCACCCGGCTTGCCATCCTGGCCAGGCTTGCCATCCTCCCCAGGCTTGCTGTTCTCCGTTGCTTTTGCTACCTCTTTTTTCTCAGCCATTGTGATTAGAGACGCGAGCAGTTGGGAGCAGACTGACCCCGGGGAAGTTCTGCAGTGAAGCAGCAGCAGCCAGAAGTGAGGTCACTGTCCCAAGCCATAAATAAGGGAGTGAGGGAGGAGAGACTGAAATAACCTGCACCAGCTCTGTCAATCACAACAGCTCTGCTCAGGTTTATCTCATCCACACCCTGGAGCTTGTTTTTCATTCCCTCTTTCCTTTTTCTATCCCAATCCTCGCTTTTCCCCCTATATAAATCAGAACGTGATCCATCGAACTATTATGCTTATTTGCCATTTGCCAATTGAAACCCTCCACGGCCTCTCCCCTCCCTCCCTCCCTCCCTCCCTCCCTCCGTGATCTCCTCCAGACTTGCTCTCCCTCCCACATAGGCTGGCTCCACGTCGTGTGAACTTTCAGCCATTACCCCCTGCCCTCTGCAAACCCTCACAAATCCCTCCACTTCACGTCTCCCTCCTTCTTGTGATGGTCTGTCACCAGAAGTGCCCTGCAGACTCGGAGCGCTGCTGAAGACAGCGCAGTCAGTCTGGCTCATCGGCAGGATTTGGGAAGCCCACCAGTCAGCGGGGGCAGGGACCCTTCTGACCCGGCTCCTGTTATCGCTGCAAGTCAATGCTCTAACAGAGGGTGGTCCCAGCTGGACAAGCGGTGGGAAAGCTTGCCAGACAGCGATATCAGTGGCCAGCTATATACCCACATGATTGGTTAAACTCCAGTAACAACACTCTGAGGTCTCCAAGCCTTGGCTCTTGCCAACCTGCACCCAATACCCTCCGAAATTATGTAAGCAGGATGTGTCCCTTTAGAGAGAGAGTGCGCATTCCGTTCAAGACTCAGAATTTTTCCATGTTTAGGTGGCACACGTATGTGGAATTCTCAGATTGCTTTGGATACTCTCAAGCAAGGGGATGGGTTTCCGCATGTGTCAGACACCCGGCTAACTGAAAAAACATTCCTTGTTTTCATAACCTGCCTCCTTGGCCAAGCCTTCAGTTGTACTCCTTCTGTCCAGTCTCTGGTCAGGCCCCGCACCTTGAACACTGCACAGCACTGGTCACTGTGACACAAGGGGCTGCACAAGTCATAGAGTCAGTGCAGAAAGTAGAGCAACGAGGAGGATCCAAAGTGGTTAGAGGAATGAGCTGTGGGCAATGTTTGACAAGCTCAGGCTCTTCAGCCTTGAGAGAAGATGAGTCAGAGGGGACATTTATGCAGGTGTACGAAATTGTAAATGGGATTGATAAAGTAAACGCAGATTTTTTTTCTTGATGCACGTTTAGGATTATATATGAAATAATCTTAAATTCATGTCCCTTGTAGTTTGTTAGCTGCCTCGTTCGCCTACAAAATCCAGTCACTATATTTTACAATGCATCCTGTGAAGCTCTTTGTGATGTTTTGACAACATGAACGACGCTGTATCAAATGTAAGGATTATAATTATTATTCACTAACACGTGTAACTGTCCATTCATGGTTGACCCTTTCAAACCCTTTCAGGATTGTGAATGTTTGGCTGTGATCTTCTTTGAATCTCTTTTCAGGACGTCTGTGTTACTTTCTCTGTTTGCCTTTCACATTAGCAGCTGAATAAACCCATTCGAATTCCTTGCACCATCGATCTTGATTTGACAACAGCTGCAACTTGTATACGAAACCCAACTGATAAGTGTCGAGCGCTGAGCAAAAAACCTCCACCATGTGGTTTAACCTTTACAGACCGTTTAACCTTTACTCACCACACCCAGGCCTGATTCTATTTTATTCCACAATGGAACCTAATGCTGCGCTGAGGTATCGGTTGGTTGCACTCTTGTCTTTAAGTCAGAAGGTTGCAGGTTCAAGCCCCACATCGGGACTTTATTTTGGGACGCCCTCCTAATATGAAAGGTGCTACACCAATTGTAAATTGTGTTGTATTGTATTTGAGCTCACAGCGTAAGCCATCACTGCAGTGTAGTGATGGGGGAGCACCTTGTTGTCAGAGCTGCCGTCTTTCGGATGAGCTGTTAAACTGTGAACGTTTAGGTGGATGTTAAAGATCCCATGACACTATTCAAAAAGTGAAGGGAATTTCTCTCTCCCGGTGTCCTGGCCAACAGTACCCCAGATAAATTTGTTCATTCACTTCATGGCTGTTTGTGGGTCACTGCTGTGCGCAAATTGGCTAACCCTTTGCCTACAAGACAGACAGTATTATGGTGAATGGCGTGAGGCACTGTGAGATGTTTTGATGTGGTAAGGCACTGTGCTAATGAAATGTACTCTGGCCCCGTAAAGCCATGCTCGCCCAGCCATCTCTTCACAGAGACCTGAGATCTGGCCAGGCTGAGCTCAGCACAAGTTGTGGGTTGAAGCTCATACACGCATTCGTCACCTCAAGGCTCAACTACGAAAACTCCCTCCTTGTCGGCCTCCCCAACTCTTCCCTCCACAAGCTGCAGATCATCCAGAGCTCCACAGCTCGTGTCCTCTCCCGCACCAGGCTCTGTGACCCCCATCAACTCCACCATCACTTGGCTCCACCGGGTCCCCATCCCTGAGAGGATAAAATTCAAAATCCTTGTCCTCACTTTCAAGACCCTCCACGGCCTTGCACCCTCCTACATCTCTGACCTGCTGACCCCCTATCAACCTGTCCGCTCCCTCCGCTCGGCAGGCGCTGGCCTGCTCCAGGTCTCCCGCCCAACCCGCCCTACCATCGGCGGCCGGGCTTTCAGCCTCTCTGACTTTCAAAAGCCCTTGTGGGGAAAGTGCCGCCTTTGATAAGTGTAGAGTGACGCTGCTGGAGAGGAGCCACGCTGGGTTAATTGCACTGCTGTTAGCCGCTATAAATGGGTGTCACACAGTAACCCTGACTACACAGTCCTGGCCTATCAGTAAGCTGTCTCAGTATCTTGACATATTTCCTAATTTAGAGCAGGGCCTGTATGTATTTTTAGAAGCGTGTGCATGGCTGGAGCTAAGTGACAGACCTGTGGGGCAATGTTTTATCTCAAGAGAAGCCAATCGAGGAGTATCTCTGATCCGCTTTACCATTGATGTGATTTTACTTGGACTCAAGTCTCATCCAGTGTCCAGCGCTCCTTTTAGGGCGATGATTTGTTAGAATGTTGTACGGTCTTAACTGTCCATTGCTGTGCCAATCTGCAAGAGGCAGTGACTGACCAGGGCAGCTTTCACAGGCCTCAGATTGATACTCTGCCCAGCTGGGTGTTGAAAGCGCTTCGAAACACTGTCGTCTGGAAAAAAACAACTTAGACACAGCTCACTGTTAGCGTGTGACGCTCCCGGGTGATAGCCTGGCATTCGTAGACTGACACAGTCTTTTAGATCTTCCTCAGGCTCACCAACTCATCACTGGTTCCCTGTACGACACTCCGTGTGTCATTAGTCTGGGAGAATTAGTCACTCTCCATCATGTCTGTGTGACATAAATAAATAGAAGCCCTTATGTTTAACATATCGCCTTTAAAAGAAGGAGGAGGTCTCAAAGCTCTTCACAGGAGTTGTTATATCATGCAGTGACTGTATTTTGTAGGCCAAACAGCAGCCAATTTGTGAACAGCAATGTCCTGCAAACAACTACAACAACAACTTGCTTTCATATAGCATGGAGGATGCTATATGACGCTCAGAAGGCCAAGGTGGCCGAGCGAAGGGGGCGGGTGGGGAGGGGCAGGGTATGAGCAGATGGGAGAGATGGTTATTGCAGCCTGGTTCAGGTGGTAGCATTCTTACCTCAGAGTCAGAAGGTTGTGTGTTCAAGCCCAATGTCGGGACTGAAACTTGTATAATCTAAGCTAAGCCAAGGTCTTGTCTACCTGTTCAGGTGGATGTTAAAAGATTCCATGGCACTATTAAAAAAAAGAAGGGAGTTTCTCTGAGTATCCCGGCCCACAATCTCCCAAATAAAATTGGTCATGGCTGTAGGCTGCATTGGGTGTGAGGTCGCTGAGAGGGAGCATGTAAATGAGCAAAAGAAGGGGCCAAGGATGGAGCCTTGGGGTACCCCACAGGAGGGGAGTTAGAGGAGGCAAAGTGATGGTGGTGGGTCAAGTAGGACTCGAACCAGGAAAATGCGGTCCCACTGAAGTGGATGAGGGAGGAAAGCCGGTGGAGGAGATGACATGATCAACTGTGTCGAATGCAGCAGAGAGATCAAGGAGGGAGATAAGTGGAGCTTCCCTCGACCACTGAACAATGTACTATGCAGTTTCCTCACAGAAAGCTCCCTCGAGAAACTACACTACGTCCATCATTTCCCCTTCCCATCGTACTTCTGTGACCTCCCGACCCGACCGTTCATTTTGCCCACAAACACCAGCTTGCTACATGTCACCCCCCACCCCATCTGTTGCACTATTGCCATCTTGCCCCCGCTCTCTGGAGCTCCATTCCTGGAGTTCCTCCGAATCGCTCCTTCCCTCCCCTTTCAAAGCACATGAAGACCAATAACAACAACAACAACACAGTTACATTTGTAAATCGCCTTTCACGTCGGGAGGACATCCCAAGACAGTGGACAGTCACTGCATTCGAATAATGCAGCACACCCACAACCTTCTGACTCAGAGGTGAGAGTGCTACCGACCGAGCCAGGCTGACATGTTGATAATGGGAGCGATAGTGAATAGCGAGTGCTTTGACATAGCGATCGTGTGTCATGATGACCACTGCCCTCTCCTCTCCACCTCCTCTCCATCTCTCGAAGTGGAGATCGCTGGTCACCTTATCGCCAACTGTGGTATCTGCCAGAGCCGTTTATCTATCCCCGGTTTGGGTTTGTTATTTTGACCTTCTGATGGGTTTGAGAGACGATGAGTCATCTGCTATCAGCCCGTCCCTCACCCAGGAGCCAGGCTGACCCCCTCATCCATATGGAACTACAGACTGCGGGGAATTTCTGGCAGTGAGATTGAGCCTAGCAAGGAGGGCCCACATCCAACGACCCATATCAATCTCTCGCTGTATAAATAGCTGTCGCCCCCTCCTTTCACCGCTGTGAGCGATTGGCGATGACTGTGACTGGTTGTTAGTTACTGGCCTATATTGTGCTCTTGGCTTCAATCCTCTCTTCGTCTAAACCTTTGCCACGACAGCTGAGAATGGAGTGACCGAGAGAGAGAGAGAGAAAGAGAGAGAAAGAGAGAGAGCAGCCACAGCGGGAGGCTGC